ATAGATAGATAGATAGATAGATAGATAGATAGATAGATAGATAGATAGATAGATAGATAGATAGTCAGTCAACCACTCTATTATTGCAACTCCTTGGCATGCATTTTTAGATACAAACCATTAAGCTGCAATTTTGAGCAAACTCCTTTTTCAACATTGCCCACTATAAATGCATAAGGTTATGTTAAAGTATAAATCAGGAAAAGTCTACATTAAAAATAAAAGTAAGGAAAACTAATTTGGATTATTTATAAATACTTCAATAATTTACATTAAAGGGAAATGGAGAGAATTCATTTTCACCTATGCAGAGAGCTCACAGTTTCAAATATGTGATTATTTCCAGCCTTGATTATTTTGCTATTTTTTTAAAAGTAGTTGTGATTGATGAAACCAGAAGAATACCAAAAAAAAAAAAAAGTTACTGTAGTTTTGAAATATCTGAGAAGCCCTTCCTCCCCCTTCTCTCTTTCACACACACATATCTCCCATTGTATTCTTCCCACCCCCAAATAATAATATCTAGGGTATGAAGAAAAAAGAAATCTTAATGATTTGTGATACAATGGAGCTATTATACAGTACTAGATCTGCCAGGGAAGTAATGAGATGACTGTTAAAAAGGCGGTTCAGTTTTGATTTACCCTGCACACTATCTAGGGCGCAGATTCAGTGTACAGTCTTATTTTTATTTTTTACTTGTGAATTGTGTAGCAACCACCCTCCAAATATTGCAAGATGTGAAAGTCAGTTTGTGGCCTAGAATTGCTGCCTGACAATAGCCCAATTCCATTGTTGAGTCTCAATCCAGGAGGAGGATGGCATGTGGAGTTGGACATGCAGCTCCATTCAGTGTCAGCACAAGGGGAGGAGGTGGAGTGTCCACCATGACTCCATCAGTCTATGGAGAATCACCCTGTGATTTAGAACCATTAAAAAAACAGAATCACAGGGGAAGTAGGATAAGGATGGCCTCGATCATAGGGGAAGTAGGATAAGGATGGCCTTGATCATCATCACTCCTGTAACATTAAAGACTACAAAACAATGATGGAGAGGAAGACAAAGATAGTATCCTTGTCTCTGTTTTTCCTCATCGCATGGAAAGACAATATGTAGCAATAGCATCTTAAGGGGATTACTTTGGGTAGAGCTGCCACCAGATTCTTCTTAAAGCAACATTTCACGGCAAATACAGATGTTCCTCTTTGGGCACTTTATGGTAGTGTGAGGGATGCTAAGAGAATGTTGGTAAGATTAGGAACATATTACAGAATTCCATTTAAATGATCAGGTTGTTCCAAATTCAAATACAGAGGCTAAATTTCAAAGGCCCAAATCATTCTTAATCTTGTGTGCATCAATGTTGTTAGTGCTCAGAACTACAGCATGTATAATACTTTAATATATATCTGAATTTATAATAGCCTTGCATGTTAAACTGAGTAAAAAAACAACAACAAACTATTGTTTTTATAGTGTAAATGTGTCCCAAGTATAATCCAGTCTTCTGTCACAACCTAGTGAAACTTGTCTTAAAACCTGGTTCTGCAGTATTTGTCAAACACTGATCTATGCTAAGTTTGCAAGTCCATGCATGCTTAGTATTAAATAGCCACGTATAGGATGTTGGGTAGAAATTAAGTATTTCCTCTTGGAAACTCTCCTTTGCTAATTTACATATTTATAATTGGGAAGCAGAAGAATAAAATGTCTTATTCAGACTCTTTTGCTCACCATTGTCCACACCAGATATGTGTGGCATATGTGTCACAAGCAATTTCCAAATGCCTTGAAATGCCCCTCAGAAGTTAACACTGGTAATTTTTAATGTGGCAAGAGGGAAGATTATTAAATATATGGGGATTAATCATATTCATTGTTTTAATATGATGCACTGCAAATGATGCAGGACCATTTCTGTCCCATCCCACCTACTTTTTTGGTCTTTGTCCCCTATTATTTGTTTTTTTTCCCTTTTTTAGTTATATAGTCTCTGGCATGCTACTCAAAGGTCAAATACACCCCTTGGTCTGAAAAAGATTCCAGAAAGGAATTCCAAGAATTGAATCTGGGATATCTTATCTGCAAAATATGTTATTTCACTGAGCAATAGTGTTTTCAAGTCTTCATCAAATGATCTTTGACAATTAAGGTATTTTCTAAAATAAGCTTTATGTGCAAAGGAAAAACAGTAGTCAGGTTCAATGTTTCTTTCAGCTGCTCTCAGAAAATACCTTAAAATAGTTTGGGAAGTAATGGTACATTACGTTTGACCGTAGTTGGCATCAACTAATTAGCATCTGAAGATAGCATTGTGTTTTTTCTTGTGAAGAAAAAAAAATACAACATTTGAGAGATAATATAAAGTATTCATCAGTATTTAACATTTACAAGATTTCATATTAAGAAGTAACAATGTTAAGAATTGTCTACTAGGTTTAAAACACTACATATTTGTACTCAAGCTGCAGAGTTAGTATTTTGCTTCAAAAGATCCTGGTGTTCAATAGTGGTCCTCAAAATGGTGTTGGGTGTTTTGCACTTTCAAGTATTCATTTCAGGACTCGATGGAAATCAAAGCTTTGTTTTTCTTCCAGTATTCTTTCTTTCACCTCTGTGAGTCATGTATACATAACAGCTCCAGCTTTTCATAAATTGCAATCAGAAATGGCTAAACTGTTTATGTGGAGACTGTTACTTCTGACATCTGGAATAAAACAAAAAAAGAGGAGGAAACACATTCATGACATTTTGAAGAATGCATAGTAGGAGATGAGAATTGTTCTTTGTTTCTAGCATCTACAATATTGATAAAGCCAGCAAGCTCTATTATTACCCAGGGCAACCCCAGCATAAACATTGCAAGTTAAAGGGAAAAAAAAGGTTATCTCTAGATCAAATCTTGCATGCATTACTCATGTAAGAATCGACTGCAGGAGTATAACTTTCACAACATTGTGTGTGTGTGTGTGTGTGTGTGTGTTTTCTGGCTCTCAGGAAAGGCAGGCAATGTCAGCATTGCTCTTTTTATTGCGGTTCCATATATTTTCACAGTTGCAAAGCTTTACTAAATCTTCCAGTGCCTGGTCAGAAAAAGCACATCTTGAACCTCTGTGATCTTCCTGATACAAACAGCAATATGGAGAATTCTAAATATCCTTTGCAGAGTGTCCATCCCCACAAGGAAGGGGAGGGGGGAGACTATTTATGTATTTATTTAGCTTTGAGTAGAAAAATGTCTATGTACACACATACACACACATACTGTGTGTGTGCGTGTGCGTATAATAACAGGTTGCTATATTTGGTAATAGTATTACTTCAGATATTGTATTTTCAGAACAGCCATACAAATAAAATTAAAAGAGCCTACATTTTATAGAATTGCCCTGTATAGCTAGTGATTGTGAGAAACATACAGGGCACCCTGCTACAGAGCTTTTCTTTTTAGGTGCGTATTTATTATATTTCACCTTCATTTCATGTGAGCAATGCACATCCGATGGTCTTGTCCTTCCATCGTCACAACAATCCTTTGAAGCAGACCGAGAGTTGGGGATTTCATTCAAAGCAATCCAATCATCTTCACAGCTGAATGGGATTTTGAAATTGGAACTTCCCATTTTAGCCCCATTCTCTGGCCAGCATGCAACCCATGGCCTGAATGAGAGAGTGCCAGAACCCCCCCCCCCCCCTGCAATCTGTTAATACATTTGAAGTAGGTTCAGATCCCTCCTTAGTAGTAATACTTCTCAAGGGACTTTTTTTTTTTTTAATTCAAATGACTTTAGATTGGTTTAGGCTTAAGAAAGACTTTTCCCTCCCTTAGAGTTGCCTGTCTATTCAGGGCAGGAATTGATGAAGACACAGTGAAGGTTGGCATCCCCAAGTGGCCAGGTGTTCTACTGCGGAGCAAAGAAAGAAGGAAACAGAGCAGATTAGACCCCACCCTATTTGTACGTGTCTTTGCCACCTTGACATTTTATAGTAAAAAAAAAAAAAAAGGATATTTTTATAATAAATATGACAAGTTGCATCACAAAAGATATATCCAGAAGCGTGAAATCCTTAATATCTTGTTTACTAAGTCCAATGCTTTTATATATTTAGCTGTATGTTTTGTTCCTTTTTCAGGGGCGTATGTGCTGCAGGTCAAAGCAACAGATGCTGATGACCCAACATATGGAAACAGTGCCAGAGTGGTTTACAGTATTCTTCAGGGACAGCCATATTTCTCCATTGATCCCAAAACAGGTAATTGACATTCTGTCCTTTGGACTGTTCTTTCGCTCTCTTCCACGTATCAGACTGATTTGGCACCTATCTCAGCATTCTTGATTTAATCACAGAGGAAGAAAAGAAGTGCCATTAATGCACATTGAAAAATGGCAAACGCTTTCCTTTGATCATATGTATGCACTGCTATTTCAGACACAACTGGTGAGCAAAAAAATTGAACAGGAGATATTAAAGAATGATACAGGTCCTGTTGCATAAAGAAAATGATGTGACGACTATGTGATGTAATTATTTTAATTCGACTGAGCGTTCCAATATATGGAATGGGAGTAGCATTCAGGACCTCAGTGGAACAGTTCCAATTGCCAAATTAGCCAAATAACTTACCCAGCTGAGCTGACATCCATGCCGTTCTGTTTGTTACCAAACTTTAGGCAACTGATTTAATCCATTAATTTGGGCTGCTGCAAGGAAACTATGGATCTCGAGATATGCTTAAAGAGGAATGTGCTTTATCCCTCATTATGGCCACTGCTAGGATTTCTAGTTCAGCGCTATCTGGAGATCTGCAGCTTCACAGTACACAGTTATAATATAGCACAACAATATAGAAGGAAATCATTTTATTCATGACAGGTTTTATAGATGTCAGTGCAGTAGTAGTAAGTATTAAGTCGGGGTTAAATGTATTTTGACCACACATATAGAACTAGGAATCCCATCAATGGTATTAAATATCTGAATCACAATACCATCAGAATCACATGGTAGAGACTGAAATATAGAAACCATATATTTAGATGTATTTTTCTAAAAAAATCTGCATATCTCTTGACATAAAAAAATTAGCTTCTTGTGACATCCCTCTCTTAGACCTATTAGTTTTCTTTTACATGAAGAAATATTTTTCTGTGAGGGAGCATCTGTCCAAGAGATGCACCTTCTGAGCCCACCATGCAAGTTGCAATTCCCTTAGAGTAGCCTGAATTTTATTTTTCCCAACCACTCTCTACTTGATTGACAGATAGAGTATTAAAAATCCTTTGCTTCCTGGCTGATCAATTATTCCAGGAATGCAACCTCCCTATGAAAAATCATTGCATGCATATATATATATATATATTCCCCATGAATTTACAGCAATCTTGTGTTAACTATATATAAAATATGTGAATGCTACACAGGAACCTTTGAGCATGTGCTATGCTGATAAGCTCTTATAATTGTATTTTAATCTGGTATTTTAATGAACATTGGTGCTCAGTGGAAATCTATCTTTTTTTTTCCCCCGGCAGCCTGCTTTTGGCAGGTGGCTGGATTGGAGGATGGGAAATGGATGTTAATGTCAGCCTTGTTGTTTGGAGGTCACTGGATGTGTGGGTAGATGCATAAACAGCCAGAAATGCTCATGGGATTGGAGGACAGTTAATTGCATATCTTGTCCTATATTCTGAAATGTCATTCCTGCTTCTGTATTTAATAATTCAATGACTTAACCAAAATGTTCCACACTAAATGCTGCCAATTGTGTGCCTTGAATGCAAGGCAGACAGAGCTGCTGGTCTGCCTCCTTTCTGAAAATGGAATTTGTTTTCCCAATGAGTCCCTACTTGAATGTCAAATGGAGTATTAAAAACCCCTTGCTTCCTGGCTAATCAATGAGTGGAGATGGAAGCAGCATAACACAGCACAAGCTCTCCAGAGGTCGTGTTCCTTGTCAAATATACTCTATTTTAACAAAAGGACATATCACAAATGTGGATCAGCAGCTTTATTTTTGAAATTTGGATGGGTTACCTCCCCCTTCCACATGCTCCAGGAGATAAAAATCACCTCCTTTTGATGTTCTCCGTTAATTAGATCTCACTGGCAATAAAGAGGTTTTAAAATCTAGACTGCCTATGTCTTTTACAACATTTCTGGATCAGGTGAATGACAATAACAGAGATATCCCCAGGAGTATCTGCTCTTCTTTATCTTCTTTATTAATTATAGTCAAAGGACCTCCAGAGCAGGAGCAGGTGAATTTCAATTTTAAATACTGAGCATTGCAAAGACATTAGGGTCATTGATCATTGGATGAATGAAAGATGCAGGCTTCATACTAGGATCAGCTATAAATCTCAGCTCTCTAGACACTTAACTTGTTATTTGGGACTTGATCTACTCATCAGTAGACTCTCAGATATAACTTGACTAGATTTGTCTCTTTATTGCAGATAGGAATAAAGCTACTGTATATATATATGCTCCCATAGTACACAAAACTCAGTCTATATAGGCACATGCTCCAGAGTTTAAACTGTAGGCTTTTTCATCCTACCTTTCTGAGTTAATGGATACTTGGCCATTTTCTTGTGTCCTTGAGAAGTACCTAAACTGTGATTGACATAACAATTTTCTCCAGCCAGGAACTGCTAGTTCCTACCTCATCAGTTTCATTCCTTACAAAAACCATTACAATCCTGTTAAAATCATTCTTATTCAGAACTCAATAGCTTAATTTGTAATTTGCCTTCCTCTATCCTAGTTGTTGTCTTTTCTGTTGTGACATTAGCACACTCTTTGTCACAGCACTGGCTTCATGCTCACCCACCAATCAGTCAGAAATTTTTCTTAAGAAACCTTGAGTGACAAACATAAAATGACCTCTTTAGACACACAGGTAGAAGGTTGGGAAGGCAGTAGGTGGGGTCTGATACCTGTTCTGTTTTACTACCCAAAGCAGCATTCTAATGATAGGATTGGCTTGACCAAGCCTTAATCCAAGCATTCTTATATGTGGATATTTGCTGTTGGAACTTCTTTCTTCCATTTCCCTGTATTTTCCCCCTCCACAATAGCACATCCTCACCTTCATCCTAGAGTAGATCAATGCATAGATTTTTTTTTTTCCCCCTTAATGCTTGGGGTTAGGGAAACATATCTTTCTTACAAATACAGCTGACAAACATCAACAATCAGCAACAAAATGGATGAAATATACCATTTCACAGTTTGAAATGTATTACTTAAAAAGTACAATTATGACTGACTAGCACTGAACACTTAAGGACATAACTATAATTACAAATACCCAAGACATCAAAATGATGAGGAACAAACCTGAAGCCTAAAGCTATTTAGAAAAAAGAAGCATATTAATGTAAAGAAAAGTTTCACTCCCCTTGAGGCAAATTCAGTGTCTGTGCGAGTGGATAAGCTTTGGCAAAAGGCAATCAGCAAAATCATCTTTGTTCTCCCTCAGTCCAATTCTATTTCCTAAGCCTTGAGTTTATTTATTGTTGTAATTATCAATTTACACTTGGGTGATAGGAAGAAAAAGATTAGCCTTGAAAATGAGTGTTGGGTATATCTATCTGCAGTGCTTTCACTCAGTTTCTCATTTTTCTGACCATTAGTTCCTTTCTGTCTTTGATCTTCATTGATTTTCAATGTTAGAAAAAGAGGATGAAAAGAAACCTACACATTAGAAACAAACGTTTTGTTCCCACACCAGATATTTGGCTCTTATCGCAGTGCTATACGTCTATGTATCTATATTTTTAACTATATTATTGACATCTCTATTATCTATGTCTATATCATCTATATTTATTCCCTTTCCTAGGAGCTGGAATTTCAATTTACAACTATACAATTTTAATGTGGTCTAAAACTTTTGTGAATGGAGGTATGATAGAGTATCTCTAGTTTGGCAGTACAAAGGTACCTAATGAATCTTTAAGATTTCTCCTCTTGAAACTTAACTAAATACAGTTATTTGTTTTGGTTAAGAGTTGATGTATTGACACAAATACTTGCTTTTCAAAGGATTGTTTCTCATTTTACTGACAATCTGAGCAGAAATCAAGAGAAGGAAGGAAATATTATTTATGAGCTCTTATAGACCTCAGAATTATTTTCACTTTTTTTCCCCCTCTCTAAATGGAAGACAGAATCAGTGTCATAATAAACCTTTGGACATCAACACAGGAAAATTCATAGTTTTATTAGGTAGTTCTTTCTTGGAATGACAGCCAGTTGCTCTTGCACTGAGTCATTAGGAAGACGTGGACTACTTATTCAATATGTGCATAAATATAATTATACTGTTCTTCTCTCTCAGGAACTGTCTTTCAGCAGATAAATCCAGTTCTTCTCTACAGTATGTCAGCAAATGCCCATTATATTTTCAGTGTCAGGATTTATCTCAGTTCAGCCTAGTTCTAAATTCCACAACCAGAGAAGTCCCCATTGGGGCATCTTAACAGGATCTACTGCCTGAGGTTAGAGGAAAGCACATTATTTCCATCTTGTTTCTTCTTGCGTATGCTTACCTAGTAGCCAATACCACAACCACATCATAATATTCAGGACTCCCTAAAAAGAGCATTTATTGGATTTATTTATTTTATTGAAACAATTTATATGGCTAGTCATCTCACAAAAGTGACTCTGGGTGGTGTACAGAGAATAAAACAAAAACCACAAGACAGAACACATGGTGCCCAAGGTTGAAATAGTAAACTTCAATCACAAAAGAAAATACATCAACAACAGCAGAGCTTGCCTAGCCTCCTGGCCCAAATGCCTGGGGAAACAATCACGTTTTCAAAGCCTTTTGAAAGGGTAACAGGATTGGGACTATCCAGATTTCTTTGGGGGGGGGGGCAGATTCTGTTCCATAGGGCAGGTGCTGTCACTGGGAAGGCATGGGTCCAGAGTCTAACAAGATAAAACTGTTTGGGGAAAGAGACCCAGAGCATGTTCTCTCTACTAGATCTGGCGGGGTAAACAGAAACAATGGGGGAGAGGTGGTCCCACAAACAGCCTGGCTCTATGCCATGTAGTGCTTTATAAGTGATAACCACCATTTTGAATCACATACAGAAGCCCACTGGGATGGATGGACTCATCTGGCAAGCTACTCTGGAGTACCTTAAACATAACAAAATGGCTGTCCTAGGCGGCTGATTGGGAGGACAGCAGATGGAGACTTGGCCACAATTTATTCCCTGCCCCAGTTTTCACTGAAAGCTGCTGCTTCATTCTACCTAAGGTGGGGCTGCCCTTGGTCCCCATCGTTAAAATATCTACCATGCTCACCTATCAGCCCCAAAAGAAGATGATATAATGATGTCTACATCTTTGTCCACATCTAATACAGCTCACAGGACATGGCTTTTAAACTGGCAGATGTAAATGAGGTGATAGAGAAATTCTGGAGCATCATTTTTACTTGCCTTATTATAGCATGGTATAGAATTTCTTGTCTGTGGACAGTACTGAATACCAAATGATATCTGTGCTATGGGACACATTTTAAACTATTTTGAGCTCTGTTTCATAAATAAATAGTTCTCAAAAACAGCTTTCTTCCCTTCCCAAAGGTGTTATAAGAACAGCCTTGCCAAACATGGACAGAGAAGTTAAAGAAGAATATCAAGTTCTCATTCAAGCAAAGGACATGGGAGGTCAACTTGGGGGACTGGCTGGAACCACAACAGTGAATATCACTCTGACTGATGTCAATGACAACCCACCAAGATTTCCCAAGAGTAAGTTTTCAATAATTAAAGCTCAGAATGAAAGAGAATTTATGCTACATGGGACAAGATACCAGGTGGGTTGATTTATTGTGCAATATAAAGACCTTGCTATTAAAGTTGTTAACAGAAAACAGCTATTATAGTTTTTGCCTTTCCATACAACATATTATCTGTCAGAATTTGTCCTGTCAGAGAACCAGAATATTACTAATCATTATATTATTTGTCATCATTTGAAGTGTACATAGACAAGTTATAATTTCTCAGAACATTAGGAAAAGAAATAGGAATTTGGGTAAATTGGGAAGGTTTTTTTTTTTTTTTTTTTAAGTCTATGGTGTACAAATTAGATTGTGGGAAAAAAAATTGTTAAGACTCTCCCCCGCCTCCCCTTTTACCTTATATAGATATTATGTGTCTGTGAGTATGTGCAGTCCAACTTCCTACTGAGAGGCATTGCTTTTATCTTTTCCCCAACTCTTCACTATTAGCAACTATTATCCATGGTCTCTGCTGAGAAACATGCTACTTTGGGTTCTCTCCATTTTTCATTTAGCCAGCAGGTTTCCATTATGCTGTTGAAGTGTTTCGTAACAACTAGTCAGAATTATAACTTCAAGAATTAGTGCCTGAGCTTGCTTTAATGGTCTTTCCTCTATCTACCCTTTTCCTTGTGCTATAGTATCTTTCAGACTGTAGGACTGAAAGTAGCTGACTGCCTTGTTTCTACTATTTAATCTACTCTGAGAACCTTTGGGGGATAATAAAAAAAAAAACTTTATGCATTAGGGATATAAAAAAAGATGGAATTCTGATTCCCACTGTACTCTACAACACAGCCCATTCCACACTCGTGTCATCAACAAGATACTTTGTATGGGTCTCACCCTGGATACTTTGAATATTAGTGATGCATTTTGGTTTCTCTATGATGAGGCTCGTGATATGAGACAAACTGCTTTTAGAACTGAAATGGGCTCCTAAAGTTGGAGCTTAGGAGGAAACTTTTTAATGTTCTAATGATTCTATGTTTGTGGGCCTAATATTTCATGTGTTATATTTTCCTGTTCAGCTACAGTATGTTTTATGAATATGATTATTTTTGTAGCATTTAGGTAAGCTGCCCACAGTTGTTAAAGGAATGAGCAGCATATACATTTGCTGAATTTTTGGTCAGAGTATAAACTCAGAGAATGTATCTATATACAGGTAGCGTCCTTTGATAGAATTCCTTGCCTATAAAAAGGAGTAGCTAGATTATAGGGATGCGGTTTATGTATGCAGGCATGCTAAACTTGATTTGCACAAAGTCTGTGGGAGTGGGCGGCTATAATAAATTTAATTAAATAATAATAAATAATAATAAAATCAACACCACAATGGCCCTAATGCAGTGAGTGGATCAGGTCATGTAGTTAGATTAATTAGATTGGTTTTAAAAGCCTTATAACCTGATGTTAATTTTTTTTTTCTTCTGATGCTAATAGAGTCAAAATGGTCTCTGCTTCTGATGTTTCCTCCCTACCCTAAACAGTTTTATTGTTTCTCTGACGTATCAGTTTAGAAGATATTCTGTACAACATCTGACTTCTCCAGAGAATTTACATAGAGGTCTATATTTTGCCTGACACCTGATTTCATGTAATTCTCACTACTGCAGTGCTCCCACTATTGCTCAGCCTAGGCCCTGAGTATCACTTTGTTAGCAACTTAATACATACCAGCATTTCCAAGAGCAAAAGAGAAAGAGTTCTTGCAACATGCAACATGCAGTTATTTCTTTTTCTTTTCAACCAAGGAGTGATAAGGCTTGTTTATACTTCCAGTGAATGAATCTTACAGCTCCGCATTTGCCAGTATAAAGCTATTCCTTATAAGTGATGCTTTTGCTGTCAAAAAAGCATACCCTTCTGTTCTGCTCAGTGATAAAATTTAAGATCTTTGGCCTCCATCACATAAAAAGTCACAAAAGCCAAAATAGTAGTTGCCTTTCTAGACAGGAGAAAAATACAAGCGGCACAAGCTGGGACAGAAAGATCACATCATTAAATTAAAAATTAACATGACCTATAGCAATTTTCTAATCGAATACTTTACCAAAGTGTACTGTGCTTTAGTGGAAAGTAAAGTAACAATTTTTATTTAATCCAGATTGTTGATATTGTATAAATCATAGTAATAGCTGCACCAGTTCTGTAAGTGGGGAAAAATTCCATCTGTGCCAAGAAATATATGTTACCTTGAGATTCAGTTCTAAGGACCAGGTTTGTAACACGTAAAAGCATGAGAATATGCATTTACTGCTTTCTTTTGTCATAAATTTTGGGATTAGTTTAATCTCCAGTTTGTTTAATATTTTGTTTAGAGCTAGTTTAGGGCTATATTAACCCCCAAATCCTTCCAAATGACCGTTTTCCCTTGCAGTACTCCCTGTTGGAGTCAAGGGAGTCTTTAAAAGTATCACTTTTCAAGCAGTACAGTGGCTTGGCTCTCAGCAATGGTGGAAAAAATATAGCTAATGTCAACTCAGGTAGGTAAACTTTATTACGATCTTTGACCAGCCATATATAACTAAGATCTAGCAAGTCTATGGCTTTTTTTTTTAAAGGTCCATGCTGTTATATACTTGTAAACAGTCTCTGGTTTGCATTCAAGACCCATACAGCTGTAGACATGAAGGTCCTTGGTGCCTGCCTGTCATATAAGTTAATATAGGTTTGAGTTAAAAATGTGTTGTAAAATCAGAACTGCAGCAAATATTTGTTACAGAGACATGGTTTGCTGTCAAGCAATGTGAACAAGCAGGTCTTTGGTTCCCTAATCCATCATGCGGTTTGCTTCAAACAATAGGCTTAGAAAAACAAATGCATCACTAAGTCAGGAAGGCTAAATTTAGTAAGTTGTTATTTTATTTATTAATTTATTGATTTATATCCTTTTCATTCAAGCAATAATTAAGACAGAATTCACATGAAAAGTTGAAATTAAGATTAATACTAAAATCGAGTGATAAGATAATGTGCTTCCTCACAGAAACTTTGGGAAAAATAAGAACCTCTGGAGATGTTCAGAGAATTGGCACATTCTAATATAATGCACCCCTTCATGGATCACTGCCTTGTCGTGGCGAAGGGGCTTGCGTAACTCAGTGAAGCCATGAGCTATACCGTGCAGGGCCACCCAAGACG